AGTGAATGAATCTCAGATGAAAGCACATGGTAATTCATGTCTGTACAGTTGAGGCACAGCTAAAACAAACCTTTCTGAACTGCATAAAGAATAGGGTGCATGATTAAAAAAAATAACTCTCTTCTGCAATGAATTCCTGTTTGCTTTTTAATTTATTCAAATCAAAATTACTCTCAGATATTTTTAATTAAAGAGCCCATATTATACATGAAATAGGGTCATATCTTGGTTGTAAGGGTCTCCAACAACAGTCTAATATGCATGCAAGGTCAAAAAACACTTTCATGGTCTTATAATCTGCATTTATTTTTAGCTAATTATCCCAGCGACTCCTGTATGAATCGTCCAGTGATTCATTTGTTCCCAAACCCCTCCTTAGCGCGAAGCTAATCTGCGCTGATTGGACCGATGACAGTCTGTCGCGATTGGTCGACTGCCTTCAGTCAGAGAGGGAAATGGCCAATAGCTAATCAGCAATTTAAAAAGTAATCACAGTTCATACACGCTCGATAGTGTAGGCGTGGATTTTAGCTGCCACACTATGGCGAGTGGATAGTGCCACGGATAACCGAACGAAGGAGACAGTCGTGTACTCGCCATACCACACACACACACAAAAACACACACACACACCTCCGGATGACAACGCTCCCGCTTCAGCCCGCACCCGCCAGGTTATAGCCTGAGAACCCGCTCCGTTTTCTGCCCGCCGCGCCCGGTCCCGCTAGAGCGGAGAACACAACCAAATATCACCCAGTATACAGTCCAGACAGCCAAGCTGTCTGTATAAAAACACACACACAGCACAAAGTACACAAAGCTCGTTCGTTCGTTCGCTCTCTCTCGCTCTCTCTCTCTCTCTCTCTCCCCGCGCCAGATTTCTGCGGCGCGGGAATACATTTCCGAATAAATCGCAGGAGCAGAACTCTAGCACGGAGCTCCATAAACAAACAGCACGCGTCGCGTTTTTAACGTGACTTTGCACGCGATAAGATAATATATCCAGTTAACCTGATACAGTACACGCGGTTAAAAGTAACAAATCACAACTAAATACATTTGCAAGCTAGAGTAAACGAGGCAACAACTTTAACCGCTCGTACTCACACTTGAGAAATGGAAGAAACCCATCCTGACGTCCATCAGTTACTCTTTACTGATCCTTCCTTTAACAAACTCAGATGAAGTATTCTTTGTAGCATGTAGCTTCCAGAAGTTTCCAACTGCTTGGTTATAATGCTGATGTTTCATCTTTGGGTAGAGACTCAATATATCCATCTGCAGTGTGACTTCAATCGACCGGCATGTTTGTGTGCGTGTGTTTGTGGGTGTGCGTGTGTTTGTGGGTGTGTGTGTGTCTGGGTTTCTGCGTCAGAGGGCGGGGCCTCAGGTTTGAAATCTCCCGGGTTTGCGCGTGCACGTGAATAACTTGGTTTCGTTCGTACGTCATGGCGAAACACCTAATGAGTCGGTATCAAGGCGACTCGTTTGAAGCACTATGAGTCGACTCTTTTATAGATGAATCAACCGTTTTAAACACTGTATTCTTACAGATTTAAGCCTTAGCTGGATACTTCACTTCACTTAGAGCTGTGTTACACACTACATGGAGGGGAATTTTCAAAAACCCATAATATGGGCTCTTTAAGACATCAGTGTTATTGTTTTTCTTTTCTCAAGATGCACACCAGTAATGTGTTTTTCATTTTTATAAAAACTGCTTAAAAACCATCATTTAAAACTTAAATCAATTTAAAGTCCTGTTTTACTAGTCTAAGCCCTGTTTGTAAAGTCATGCAGCTGGTAATACTACAATTACAGTATGTATTTCATATTTCCCCTTGTTTATCACTGAAATTATCACTGACTCTTTGACCCTGCTGTTTTCTGTGGCAGTCAGCACATTACTCACTTAATGAGCCCATATTATACATGAAATAGGGTCATATCTTGGTTGTAAGGGTCTCCAACAACAGTTTAATATGCATGCAAGGTCAAAAAACACTTTCATGGTCTTATAATCTGCATTTATTTTTAGCTAATTATCCCAGCGACTCCTGTATGAATCGTCCAGTGATTCATTTGTTCCCAAACCCCTCCTTAGCGCGAAGCTAATCTGCGCTGATTGGACCGATGACAGTCTGTCGCGATTGGTCGACTGCCTTCAGTCAGAGAGTGAAATGGCCAATAGCTAATCAGCAATATAAAAAGTAATCACAGTTCATACACGCTCGATAGTGGAGGCGTGGATTTTAGCTGCCACACACACACACACACAAACACACACACACACCTCCGGACGACAACGCTCCCGCTTCCGCCCGCACCCGCCAGGTTTTAGCCTGAGAGCCCGCTCCGTTTTCTGCCCGCCGCGCCCGATCTCGCTAGAGCGGGGGAGAACACAACCAAAAGTCACCCAGCTATACAGTCCAGACAGCCAAGATGTCTGTATAAACACACACACAGCACCAAGCACACAAAGCTCGCTCTCGCTCGCTCTCTCTCTCTCATACGCGCGCGTGCGCACTAACACACACACACACACACACACACACACACACACACACACACACACACACACACACACACACACACACACACACACACACAAGCACCAAGCAGACTCTCTCTTTCTCATTCGCATAGCAATATCCGTGATATTGCTAGACAGCCCGCTCCCATCCCAAATTAAACCCGTTACCGACCGCTCCCGCGATTTATTCGGAAATTTATTCTGAGATTTATGCAGAACTCTACCACAGAGCTCCATAAACAAAGCAGCACGGGTCGCGTTTTTAACGTGACTTTGCACGCGATAAGAGAATATAGCCAGTTAACCTGATACAGTACACTCGGTTACAAGTAACAAATCACAAATACAAATACATTTGCAAGCTAGAGTCAACGAGGCAACAACTTTAACCGCACGTACTTACACTTGAGAAATGGAAACCCATCCTGACGTCCATCAGTAAGTTACTCTTTACTGATCCTTCCTTTAACAAACGCAGATGAAGTATTCTTTGTAGCATGTAGTTTCCAGTAGTTTCCAACTGCTTGGTTATAATGCTGATGTTTCATCTTTGGGTAGAGACTCAATATAATATCCATCTGCAGTGTGACTTCAATCGACCGGCATGTTTGTGTGTGTGTTTGTGTTTGTGTGTGTGTGTGTGTGTGTGTTTGTGTGTGTGTGTGTGTCTGGGTTTCTGCGTCAGAGGGCGTCGCCTCAGGTTTGAAATCCCCACGGGTTTGCGCGTGCACGTGAATAACTTGGTTTCGTTCGTACGTCATGGCGAAACACCTAATGAATCGGTATCAAGGCGACTCGTTTGAATCACTATGAGTCGACTCTTTTATAGATGAATCAACCGTTTTAATCACTGTATTCTTACAGATTTAAGCCTTAGCTGGATACTTCACTTCACTTAGAGCTGTGTTACACACTACATGGAGGGGAATTTTCAAAAACCCATAATATGGGCTCTTTAAGAGAGCGAAACAGGATGTGGTTAATTTTCCACAAAAATAACATAAATGTAATATTAAAAGTGTAATGCTTTACGGATATAACCATAGGCAAATGCACCCAAAACACAGCTTTCTTCCTTTTTCACGTATTCGGTGCATACACAGAAATAAACATGAAAAAATTCAGTCAAATGTCCAATCAGTTTGTCACATGTAACCCACGATACTTGTGCCAACACATGCCTCCCACCAGTGCTGATATACACCCATATCGCACTGCTACGAGTGTGATATTGCTCATATATATATATATATATATATATATATATATATATATATTTTGTGTGTGTGTGAGAAATCATTTCAGCATCTTCTTAGTGGTAAAATTTCACAATTACTACGCAATTTAAACATTAAACGATATAAATATAATAGTTTTCTACTGTTAACAAAATAACAACTTACATCTCTTGCATTCTATTGGCTTGCGAACGCTGAACTTTCATATCAACGGTATACACAAGCTAGAGGACAAGAGAGATCTGTTATTGTATGTACAGCAGAACTGAGGAAGGCACAATGATGTCATTCCAAATAGCTATTTCCTTGGATGCTGTATACTCTATTATAAGTTATTTATATAAATAAATAATTTTAATATATATTATTTAATCAAGTATCCTGGCAGTGTTTTTTTTATTTATAAGGGTATTTCTATTTGCTCTGTTGCTGTACACTTCCAACTAGTAACCTGGGTTACACATCTCACATTGGATTATGAAAAAAAAAATTGTGTTCTTATATTTAAACATTAAATGCAAAGAATTGTCACAAGAATTCTATTTTAAAGCATATAATCCATGAAATATTTCATAAAATGCATAAACCTGGATATGAAATAAAATAATTGTGAATCAAATATTGGTCTCACTATTTATTAAGTGTCCTTAACACTATATATTAACATTTTTTAAGTTTTGTTTATAATGCACAACCTCACAATATGGTGCTGGTATATAAATGCAAGAGTGTTTGGGTCTTTCCCAGTGTTGGGTTGCGGCTGGAAGGGCATCAGCTGAGTAAGACATATGCTGGATACGTTGGCGGTTCATTCCACTGTGATGACACCTGATTAAAAAAGGGACTCAGCCGAAAAGAGAATGAATCAATGAATGAATGAAGACACAGCAGCCAGTTACTTTCAGTTGTCGAGTTTTTGACATTTAAAAGGTGTGTTTGTGTATGAAACGTGCATGTGTAGTCCCAATTTACACTCCGATAAAAGATTTTACAGCCAATTGGTTTACAGAGTTTACTCCAAAGTAAAATAACCAACAAACCAGATGCTAATAATCAAACAGAGTTCAATTTGATATACCTGAATAATTTTAAGAATGTGTGTGTTTACTTAATTTGTTACTGAAAACCGTTTTAAGTTAAGTAGTGGATCCAGTTCTTTACTTTTTTACAATGCAGGATGTCTCTCATGTGATTTCCGCTTTTCTTTCTGCTTATTTACTGCTTAAGTCAAACAAGCCAGAACCTTGAATGCATTTCAGATACCAGAAGTGAAACTGTGACAATGAAAACACAAAAGATCTTCATGAGGAGTTTGGCTGTTGCACTTACTGCATCAGTGATCTGGACTGTTACAGGTAAAATGCGCTTAACATTTTCCACTTCACCCAATAATGCAGTATTCTGAAGTTTACTCTATCTTTGTTTCGTTTTTAGCAGTCGCTGATAATGTGGAATCATGCTGTACCCCAGTCTCCACACCAGAGCTCACCGATCCCATCATGAGTGTGAGGATCCAGTTTGAAAGTCTTGAGTGTGAGACGGCCATCGTGTAAGATCACTGATCCTCTCTAGGGAAAAATCAGTGCAAGAATTTTAAAAATACTGTATCTTTATGTATCTGTTCTTTCTGTCAGCTTCAAGACTGAAGAGCGGGAGTTGTGCTCTGATCCTAGACAACTGTGGGTGAGGAGGAAGGTCATGCAGTTCTAGTAAGTGAAAGCAAACACGTTTGATAAAACTACATTTTTCAGAACATAAACTGCTTATAAAGTGTTCAAACATCAGGTGTCCTGCACATTTAGTAATGCTTTTAGTGATGCCCAGAGAGGGAAAAATGTACATAACCATAGTACATCTTTTGTTTTGCTAACACTTTATTTTGATGGTACATTTGAGTATTTGTAGATTGTCTGCTTAATATCTGTTGACACTGCTCCTTCAACAGACATACTGACTATAAGAAACTTTGCAAATACATGTCAACTTACACTAACCCTAAGCCCAATTACGGTATAATCTAATGAGAATTAGTTGGCATGTAGATGCAATGTAACTTAAATTCAACAAACGGACAATCTCAACAAAATGTGACCTTTGTTTTAATTTTTTACAAGCTACAGAAGTGTAAATTGCCTCTTAAAATAAGGGGAAAAATCAGATGTGTGGGCAGGTAAAATCTAAATATTGGGCATTCATATGCAACACATGAAAAAGATTTATCTTGCACTTACAGGTGGCATTTGAGCCTAATAATGGCAAAAAAGGGGGCTATTTTGTGTATATTTATTTGAAAGAAAAAGTTCAGATTTACATTAAATTTGTGTTAGAGTGAGATTGTGAAAGAGTGTGAAGTCTACACATGCTCACATATACAGTGGAGATCAAAATTAGAGAATTATCTACAATTTCTGGATGGTATGTCACTGCTTAGTCTTGTTTGTGTGATCCTAACAAGAGTAAAATAGCATAGATAAAATGTTATGTTTATGTTTTCTGAAGAAGAAGCACAGTATTAAAATCTTAAGTGAGATATTTGGAAAAGGACACTGATCAAAATCAAATAACACATGATTAATCAATATGAGAGGACAGGATCATTCCTATACATAAACAACTGATCTTAATGGTGTATTTAAAATAGTATTTTATGTCATGTTATGTGCCAATTGGACTGCATTTCCTTCTAATAAAGTAAAATCAATCAATCAATCAATCAATCAATCAGTAATGTGAAGAATCTCAGCATAGACAAATGAAATTAAGGATGTCAGTATAGTGTCTCAGAGCATTTAAAGTAATTAAATTTATTTAGGTTTGATTGGAAACATAATGTTCATCATCAAATTGGTGAGAGGTCGAACACAAAGTGTGTGAAAGATTGGTAAAAAGTGGAGAAATTCATGCTGTGAGAGACCAACTGAAGAGTTCAGATGCAAAAACCTCTAAGTGCTGTCTGAAATTTCCATCAGAAATTAAAAACATTTTCAGCCTCCTTTGTTTATGTTGAGATATATTACTTTGAAGAACAGGAAAAGGACTTATTCTTTGCCATAAAAGTGATATTACTGAACATACATACATGGAGCCTGATAAAAATACTAATTTTAAAGGAAAATTTCAGACGACACTTTTTGCATCTGAACTCTTCAATGATTTTTTTTTTTCTTTTTTGAGAAACAGTTTTACCGCTATGGTATAGCTGCAATTAAAAATCCTCCAATTTTGTAACTATGAAGTTTACATTATTTCTGGAAAATAAATAATCTCTAATTTTAATCTCCACTATGCTACTTTTTGTGACTCAAATGTTGGCAAATAACTCAACCACAGGTGTGGACTCGAGTCATTGACCCAATCGAGACTTCACTTGGTTGGTCTGACTCGACTCAAGATTTAAATGCAATGACTCAAGACTTTACTTTTGAATTGCAAAACTTTGACTTTGTCTCCCCTCTAAACTCAAACATCAGTCAAATCTGAATTATAGGCAACGTCAGCAAATGTCCTTACAGCCTAGCAACAATTCACAGCACAATAGTATGTGTAACATGATCTAACAATATCTACAGTAAAAGCCAGAAGAATAGACTTGGGTCATTTTTAGCCCTTATTGTACAAAGTAAAGAGGGAAAACACTGAAGATTGAGGTATTGTGACTGTCATAGTAAACAGCACTGTGTTTTCTTTCTTGTTTTGCAGCAAAAATAAAGTAACCAAAAAGACCAACTAAATCCTATGTGACTTCCACGATACCACCATCATCATCATCATTGATTAGTAATGAATAACAACTCAGAAAAAGAATAATGTATCTTAGAAAAAATATATAAATGTGATGTACAATGATGATGTGTGGAGCAACTGCAGCTTGAATCTGCAAATAAAGTATGATCAGCAACAATTGGTTTGGCTTGATGTTTCTGTTTTAAAACAATTTTTATATAGGCTTTTCCGATTGTTCCGAATTTTCCTGTTGTTTACCTCAATTATTCTTCCTCATGTGGTTTTAAAACTATTTGAGTTTCCTTCTTCTGTGGAACACAAATACAAACTGGTCACACTTCTTTCCTCAGGAAAACTTTGTATATATTTATATTATATGTATCATTTTTTTATAGTTTAATTTATTTCACAATAAATTTCATTTGTTCTCCTGTGATGGTATGTATGTTTGTACCCAGTTCCTTGTGTGTTTGGGCACACTTGGCAAATAAAACTCATTCTGATTTTTCGGTAGGTAAAAAATTACCATAGAAGTCGATGAGGTGCCAGCTACAGAATATTTCTGAATATGTTCTTTTGTATTTAACGAAGGAATAAACTTAAATAGGTTTCTAACAAGAGGAAGTGTGAGTAAATTATGACAAAATTTTCATTTCTGGGTGAACTATCCCTTTAAGTATGGAAGCAGTTTAAAATGTTTGAATACATAACACTGAAATAAAATGAAATATTGAAGAATAACTATTTATAACTATGCATACATATGTTAGGCCTAATTGCACACATCCCTATTCAAATGTAAATATATTCAAGAGCAAAAAGGTAACACCACATTTTAAAAACTATATGTGAACAATTATATGCTGCACATTTCATAGATGTTTAATATGGGAAACGGCTGGTATAGCATTTCAAAAAGTTATCTCAGTTACCTCTGGTATTTTAAAAATCCTTCAAAAAGCTACAAATTGTACTGTGGCTATATAAACCAACCTGAGGTAAAACTATGATTAATGTTTTATTAAATAATTAAATGGGATACATTTTTTATTGTACGTTTTTTATATTACAGAACTAGCATATGTAAATGTCTTTAAAAAATTATATCAAGCAGTTATTCCTAAAACAGAGACAGCCACCTACTCCCCTTTCACATGTAATGACTTTCTCACAAATAATTTTACAGCCAATGAGTTTAGGCTTCTAAAATTACTCCAAAACTAAAATAGGCAGCAGTCCAGACGCTGACCTAACAGAATATTGTTGCATGGTCTTGCATCGGACAGGGTGTCTTTCATGCGATTTCCTCTTTCTTTTCCCCTTTACCACTTTCTTTCTGCTTTACTAAGCAAACTACTGTAGAAAGAACTCTGAATTTATTATACAAGACGCACATACAGGCAGTGTGACAATAATGCTGCCACTAGAGGTCAGTATAAAAGATATAATAGCAGGCCAGCAGAGTGCTAATTCCTGTTAGCATTCTCAGCAGTTCTGACAGAGGCATTTTTATAGCCTGCAGTTATTTTATTAGAATTTCCTATTAGAATTAAGAATGTCCTTTTAAACAGCACACGATGCATTAATATTTACTAAGCAGAAATAAACTGCAGTTTGCATTCCCTTTGCATTCTCAGTGGTGTTGATGGTTAGCCATCTTTCCATCCACTGACCTCTAAACTATCATCTTCTGTAGAACAATAGACACACCACAGCACATTTCAGCTGCTGTGGTTCACTGTGGTAATGTGATAAATTGGGCCAACCATAAACCATTGTGATTTCCAGTGTAATAACTAAATTGTTTAAACTAAAGAGCGCCTATTCTACATGAAATAGGGTCATATTATTGGTTGTAAAGTTCTCCAAGAACAGTCTAATATGCATGCAAGGTCAAAAACACTTTCATGGTCTTATAATCTGCATATATTTTTACCTAATTATCTCAGCGACTCCCATATTGAATCGTTCAGTAAATCATTTGTTCCCTAACCCCTCCTTAGCGTGAAGCTAATCTGCGCTGATTGGACCGATGACAGCCTGCTGCGATTGGTTGATACTGACAGCCTTCAGCGCAAGACAGTGAGACAGTGAAATGCCCAGCAGCTAATCAACAATATAAAAGTAATCAGAGTGCATACACGCTTCATAGTGTAAGGCGTGGATTTTGGCTGACAATGGGTGAATGTAAATACAGACGATGGACATGGAAATACTGACGACTAACTATTTTATTGAGCAAAAACTCCAAGAACTGGCGGGGAGATCTCCTAGCACACTCTAGCTGCTCTTTTAACACACAAACAAACACGTGCGCGCACACACACACATTACCCTCCTTCACAACACACACACAGACATACATTACCCTCTTCCTCAGAGGACACAACACACACACACACACATTACCCTCCTCCTCAGAGGTCCGTAAACAAAGCGGCATGCGTCCCATTTCAACGTGGCTTGATATGAGAATATAGCGAGTTAACCTGATACAGTACATGTGGTTACAAGTAACGAAACACAACTAAATACATTTGCAAGCTAGAGTAAACGAGGCAACAACTTTAATCAGCACTCCATCAGCACTCTTTACTGATCCTTTCTTTAACAAACGGCCGATCTTCTTTGTAAGCATTTAGTTTCCAGAAGCACTCAAACTGCTCAAAGCTGGGCTATAATGCTGATGTTTGGTAGAGAATCAATAATATCCATCTGCACAGCGTGACTTCGTTCGACGTGTGTGTGTGTGTGTGTGTGTGTGTGTGTGTTTGTGTGTTTGTATGTAAGTGTGTGTGTGTGTGTGTGTGTGTGTGTCTTTTTTTCTGTGTTAGTGGGCGGGGCCACAGGTTTAAAATCTCCTGGGTTTGCGCACGCAACTACTTGTGTTTCGTGGATACGTCGTGAAACACAAAATGACTTGTTAACAAGACGACTCATTTAAAGCACTATGAGTCGACTCTTTTATAGATGAATCAACAGTTTTAACACTAAATTTAAGCCTTAGCTGGATATTTCATTTCACTTAGAGCTGTGTTACACACTACATGGAAGGGCATTTTCAAAAACCCATAATGTGGGCTCTTTAATGTCACTTACCAAGTGTTAAGCTTGAAAATATGTTTAACTTTCAACATCAAGCTTAAGCAAATACTTTAAATATACTGTATTTATTTTTGCATTTTAGCTCAGTTTATAGGCACTTTATTTAAATTGTTGCTATAATTATTATTAATCAACATATAAATTATACAATTCGTTCATTTTCTTTTCGCCTTGGTTCTTTTATTAATCAGTGGATGCTACAGCGGAATGAACCACCACTTATCCAGCACGTTTTACGTAGCGGATGCCCTTCCAGCTACAATCCATCACTGTGAAACATACACACTCATTCACACTCATACACTACGGAGAATTTAGCTTACCCAATTCACCTATGCCACATGTTTTTTGGATTTGTGGGGCAAACTGGAGCACCTGGAGCAAACCCACGCGAACATGGGAGGAACATGCAAACTCCACACAGAAATGCCAACTGACCCAGCTGGGGCTCGAACCAACCTTCTTGCTGTGAGGCAATTGTGCTACCCACTGCGCCACCATGATGCCCTCTTTATAAACATAATAATAATATAGAAGATTTAGAGTTATTGGCTGGGAGCAATTTGCAAAGGACATCTTGCTTTACAATTAATTTCTTTAAATTTCATTTTTTTTAATTAATTAAACAATTAGTAAATTATTAAATTATCATTACAATTACTATTATTATTATTATTATTTTAAATGTTACATAATTATTATTATTATTGAGTTTTGTTTTTTTTTTTTGGTAGAATTAATATTATTACTGTTGTTGCTGTTGTTATTATATTAAAAGTATTATTTATTTTAAATATTTTTTTTGTTGGCACATTGCGTTTTGTCAGAAACCACAAGCAGGAAACAAGCCGACCCTGTTAAAACATAGTATGTGAGAGAAGAGTATGAATGCCATATAATAACAAATTTAATTCCTAACAAAAAGATTTGTTTGTCATTATTTATGTGCATAAAAGTAGCAAAACAAGTAATACATTGCACAAACAGTGAAGTGCTCAATGCACAATTCATTTAATAGCAATCTATTGTATAACATGAAAAAGGGACATACAGTTTTTTTAAAACATACATACATACTTACATACATAGAGACATTGAAGTTTACAATGCGTATCAAGTAAAGAAAAAAAAAACAGGTGCTAAAAAAGATATAGGAATAGTAGGAATTATTTCTATGTATAAAGAACTTCAGTCCATACTTCTTGGCCTTTTTTTCTCTATAAATCGTGAAAAAAATACAATGAAAGTAAGTGCAAACTACTAAGGAGATGACAAATATAAAAGAGATTCTGACCTGAACATTTTTGAGCATCCATTCCTGGTGACTGAGGTCATGAGTTGTTCCACAACCTTTAAATAAAAACACAATAACATATTAATAAAACAATCAAGGAATTCTCATGGGAATAAAATCACGATTGAGTAAAATTCACCTTTCTGCATTTCTGCTGCTCTCCAACACACACAGACAGTTGACAGCAGTAACAGCATCAGAAGCACACACATGGCAGGAAGCCATGGGCAGATGAGCACTGCATCAGGACTGACAAAATCTGCATCTTCAGTGCTTACTTCTAATATTACAGAAAAAATGCAGATTTATAATTTAGTGCATTTTGGTTCATATGAATTAAAGTAATGGCTGTGGACACTTTTGTCTCTTCTTAATTCAAAACTAGGGGGAAAAAAAACTTACGTTTATAGTCCAGTTTAGTGCAGTGAGTTTGTTGCAGAGTATATTCAGTGCAGCAGAAGAGCAGGAGATCATCTTCAGTGATGTTGAGCAGAAGCAGAGAGTGAGTGTTTGTGGATGAACTGACAGATCTGATACGTCCAAAGTAATGTGGGTGAATATTACTGGGTTCTAATTTAAACTCTGGTCCATAATTATTTTCAACACTCATAATTCGGATAAATGTTTGGTTTCCATCAGTAATAATCCAGTTAATCTCTTTATCATCGTTAATACTGCAGGGGAGTGTTGTGTTTCCTCCTAGGTGAACCATTACTGATGAGCCTTCAGCGACAATCAACAAAACAACTGAGAAATTGGAAGAGAAATAATTGTGAATC